TCATTAGAAAAATATATTAGGCCACATTAGATATGATTAACTTTTCCCATTCCACATACCTATGCCATGATAGGGATACCAAGGAGTAAAGAAAGATCAATGCAGTTTAAAAACAGTTTTTTTAGGGCTGGCCCTAGAGCCTAGTAAGTAGTTAAGGGATGTGGATCCCACATGGCCAACCACAGTTCAGATCTTGGCCCCAGTGGTTTGAAATACATGGCCAGGCATATGTGCATACATGCTCAAAAGTATCAAAGGATGGAGTAACTGGGGAGATTAATTTTAGGATGACCACACCCTATCAGGAAGTACTTCTCCCTTTCTCTCTCTCTGTTTCTCTCTGGCAAGAACAAGTAGCCTGTAAAAGCTAAGAAAAAACGTAATTTTTAAAAAATTACATTTAAGGGACTAGCAGATGGTAAAATGATTACGTCGCTAGACTCCCGCATGACTGACCACAGTTCAAGACCAGGACCCAGTGGCTTGGAACTCATGCAGGATCGGTGTGCATGTGTGCCCAAAATCCTCAGAGGAGAATGGAGAAGGGACTGCAGCATGGCCATTCCCCCGTTGGGTAATTTCTTGCTTTCTGTAACTCTTCTCTATCCCTGGCTCTCCAGAGAGCACACATGCCCTATAGCAAAAATCTCTCTTAAAAATAAAAAAAAAAATTAATTTAAAATTTTCAAGTTAAAACAAACTATTGGATTAGTAAACAGCTGATTCTATAGTTTATTACAAGGAATCAATGTTAAGTAATAAATACATGTTTATTAAGTAAATACCAAGAGCCCACCAGTGTGTTAAATGACAAGTTTAAAGCAAAAGGCAAAATTACATGTATAAGGCATAACCATCAAAAGGAATCCCTCCCCAAAACTAATATATGAGATGCATGGAAAGTCTATTCAGAAAGATGTCTTTGTGCTTATGGGGACCAACCATAGGAAACTCTCCTGAGGTATCTGTTAACAAAATAAATTATTGAGCTCTAATCCATACCTACTAAATCAGACTCTGTAGGAATCTGTATGGTCCATGAACACTGAAGTTCAAGTATGGACCAAACCTATGGAGAAATGGTTAGGTGCTATGTGGAAGAAACCAAATCCTGCATGGCTAGCTATGGTTCGAGTCCCAGCTCTGGCATGTTGGATGGGCCCAGGATCCTGATGGATGTAAAATTAGAGAAAAAAAGACTGTAGGGTGACCAGACCCTATAGAAGGGTTCGTTCGTTCTCTCTCTCTCTCTCTCTCTCTCTCTCTCTCTCTTCCCCCTCACTCTCTTACACCCATATGCATTCGCTGGCATTAAAAAAATTAAATAAGGAAGTGTACATGTATAAACCAAAAATTTATAGAGAGATCAACAGATTTCAGGCATTATGGTAGAAATTGGAGACTATTACAATATTAGTCCCAGTAAATCTCAGCTAGGAAGACAAGTAAAGGCTTTATTAAACATCATTTGGAATTCAAAAAAGCAAACTATGTCTTATCCATTACTGAATTACTACTGTCTGAATGATAAATTTTTTAAATGGATCTGTGATTAACCATATTTTTTGTACTACTTTCCCTTTATTTTCCTGAATAATGAATTTAAGAATTGACAGAGACCGACAGGTGGTGTGGTGGTTAAGGGCACTGGATTCCCATATGGCCAACCACAGTTCAAGTCCTAGACCTGACGGCTTACTCTCTCGGTTTCCCTTTCTCTCTCTTTCTGTCTCTCTCTGGTCAAATTGAAAATAATAATAACAAATGGAATTAAATAAATAAATAATTCTTTAAAAAAATAAAGAATTGACAGAGAAGAAAGGTTTAAATAAGCTTACAGAAACTAACAAAATTTAAAGCAAAAAAAAGTTTCCATCGACTCAAAACTTATACCCAAATATAAAATATTCATGCTCACTTGAAAATAATTGAATAATGGCAATCTGTCATAAAATGATACTTTTATACGTAGACTATAATTTTATATACATTTAATTACTTCCTTATAGCAACTGTACATTACAGGTTAATAATTATCCTCACTGTATAAACAGAAGAATTAAGAATAAAACATTTGCAAAATACCACAAGTAAAAGTCAGGTCTCTTAACCATCAAGGAAGTATCCATTTATGAGGCTATTTTTTCCTCATCCTAAACAATGAAATTACTATTATATTAATTAATATACAAATTCCAAGAACTAAAGTAACTAAGAATATACTGCATTTAAGTAAAGGCAAGTGGTTATGATAGCCAGATCCGTGGTTGAAGCAATAATATTTAGCATTACACTGATGACCTTAACCAATGCAAAACAAAACAAAGAGAAATAGGAGGTACAAATACTAAGAAACTATGAAAAATCACTTCCAGCAGCCATCATTGTCTACCCAGAGTCTGAAAGAATGTCTTAAAAAAATACTATGACTATTAACAGAATTCAGGAGCAGTACCCAAAAATCAACACTTTCCTTTACTTGATCAACAACCAATTAGAAAATTAAATGGAAAAAGAGCTCATATTCTATTTTTTAAAACACAGTAAATGCCTAACAATAAGCCTAACCAAAATGGACAAGACCAAGATAAAATAAAACATCACCTAACTACAAAAAATGTAAAACAGTATATAAAATGCAAACACACATATCATTTAAAAAGACAACAGATGTGGGACAAGCAGATGGCATAATGATTATATCACTGGACTCTCACATAGTCGACACAATTCAAGTCCTAGTCCCGGCAGCTTAAAACACACCAGGTGTATGTGCATGTATGCCCAAAATCCCAAGAGGAGAATGGAGAAAAGGGACTGTGACACGGCCATCCTCCTGAAAGATGATTTCTCACTTTTTGTCTCTCTTTCTCTGTCTGTTTCTCTGGTGAGCACACATGCCCTATAGCAAAAATCTCTCTAAAAAACAAACAAAAAAAGACAATAGATGAAACAGGAAAAAAAATCTACAATACATATGGCTAAAGGTTATTTCTTTAATGTATAATAAACTTTTAGAAGACTACTAAGAAAAAAAGTCTCTTTTAAAAAAGAATTATTTTATTTAACTTTATTTATTTATTTGTTTTAATTTGACCAGAGAGGGACAGAGTGTGTGTGAGAGAGAGAAAGATGGAATGTGAGAAAGCAAGTTGCCAGGTCCAGGATTTGAACTGTGGTCGACCATGTGGGAATCCAGTGCCCGCAACCACAACACCATCTGCTTGTCCAGTCAATTTTTAAAACGAGCAAATAAAGTGAGCAAACAATTTACTAAAAGAATTGATATGGAATCTGCTTAAAACAGTGTTTTACCTGTGGTTAAGTGCTCAAAAAATGTTAGTTGTTATGGCTGTTATTGTTATAATAAGCAGAAAAACAAATAGCTAATGAATATATTAAAACAGGCTCAGGGACCAGCCAGTGGCATGGTGGTTAGGGCAGGTGGAACGCAAATGGCTGACTGTGTTGTTCAAGTTTCAGACCTGGCAGATTGGAAAACAAACCAGGGGGACCAGCAGTTAGCCTAATGGCTATGTTGCTGGATTCCCATGTAGTCAACCATGGTTCACAATCCAGAACCGGTGGCTTAAAAGTCACGCCGGGCATGTGTGTGTACATGCCCAAGATCCTGAGAGGAGAATGGAGGAGAAGGGATTGTGGCGTGGCCATCCCCCCTGGGGGGTGATTTCTCACTTTCTGTCTCTCTGTCTGTCTGGCAAGCGCACACGCCCTATGGCAAAAACCTCTCAGAAAGAAAGAAAGAAAGAAAGAAAGAAAGAAAGAAAGAACGAACGAACATGAGCATGCATGCCCAAAATTCCAAGAGAAGAATAGAGGAGAAGGGACTACAGAGTGGGCCATTCTCAGAAAGAAAGAAAGAAAGAAAGAAAGAAAGAAAGAAAGAAAGAAAGAAAGAAAGAAAGAAAGAAAGAACGAACGAACATGAGCATGCATGCCCAAAATTCCAAGAGAAGAATAGAGGAGAAGGGACTACAGAGTGGGCCATTACCCCTGGGAGGATGAACGAAGGAGGGTGATTTGTTTCTCTATCTTACTGTCTCTCCCCAGCGAGAGCACATGCCCTACAGAAAGAACTAACAAAACAATAATAAATAAAGTAGGTCCAACCTCATTCATGATTTTATAAGTAGCAAAACAATCAGAAGCAAAAATAAAATGCACTTGATAAAATCTAGTGTTGTCTGTGCATCTGCATACACTAAAAATGGGACTATAATGTCAGTTACATGTTTTTAAAATGAAAACTTGACATAATCAAAATGGCCATCAACAAGGGAGTAATTAAATAAAATCACAATACTTCCACACAAGAATAAAGTCTTTAAATATAAATGAGGCAGATCAACAGAATTTATTATAGAAGATTTTCTATGATAGATTACGAAGTGGAAAAAATATAAAAGATACAGATTATTGAACCGTGATTCTACAGATATATAAAAGAAAAGGAGAGAGAAGTTCTATATACACATTTATACAAAGACAAAAAATTTCTGGAATATACATGAATTACTAATGGTTGTTACATATTTGGAAAGTAAGCCTGGAAGACTTATTTTTCATTTTCTGCTCTTCTGTACTATTAACCCTCTATGTGTAAGTATCACATTTATAAATTACATTAGAAAGATATATTCTTGGATTAAAACACTCAACATTATAAAATTATCAACCCTTTAAAAATCTAACAGGAATTTTAAATAGAAAATGAATAATACTATAATAGAATGGAATCTAAAATACTCTAGAAAAGTTTTCAAAGTATCCATGAAAATGTAGAAATAGACGGATGAGAGTGGATTTTTCTCAAATTATCAAAAAGTATAAAGAAACTACAGTAATTGCAATGTGGCATAATGACACAAGAATTGACAGATTACAAATAGAATAAATTGCATAGGAGTCCAGAAATAGATCCCTATACACATGGAAATTTTAATAAATTACTAAGTCAACCATTTTTTTTCTTTTTTTCCACTTGTAGGGGCCTGGGTTTCACCACCCTACACCGAGGCAGTAGGCATTGAGCTGAGACCCCTAGTTTGGTCCCTCTGGGCACAAAACCTCATCTGTGGCCATAGTCAGAGCCGGGGATAATTTTCAGCCAACACCTGTGTGAAGTCAACATTTTAAATCATGAAGATAACTAGGCATCCATTTGGAGGATGCGGGGATTTAAGACCATCTACCTCTTACCCCACAAAAAGAAATTTCAAACTGATAACAAACCTAATGTAAAATAAACAAAACATTTGAAGAAATTTTAAAATACTTTCCTTTTATAAATGTTAGAATGAGGAGAGTCTTAATTTAGTAAGACTTAAAATGCAAGACTTTTTTTTAAAAAAATTAACATGTGAATAAAATATGAAATATAGTGCTACTAACAAGACAGCATAAATGATAATAGTTATTATAAAAGCTAGCATTTAGAGATCACTTAGTAAGGATCGGACACAATTCTACACTGTTTTTATTACTAATTTACTTATCCTCACAATAATCTCTTGAAGTGTACCACCACTATCCCATTTTACCAACAAAGAAACTGAAGTATAGAGATTAAGCAACATACCCAAAGAAGTGACAGCACTAGAATGGAGCCCAGCTGTCTGTTTCAGTCTGTATGTACTCTTAACCACTACACAGAGGTTCAACAGAAAACTTACATATGAATAATGTTCAACAGATTTTAAAATATTGCAGCATTTACAAAATTAAAACATGAAAGGTTATGCAATGCAAAAATGGGCAAAGATTATAAATAGATAATAGAAAACATCATATGCCCTAGGAAATAGGAAATTTTAAATAAATGCAAACTATAACAGCAAAGTTTCTAATTTTGACCCCTCATTGGCAAAAAATTTCAGAGTAATTATATCTTTTCTTGGCAGTTATGAGAAAACAGGTACTTATATACTATTAACGTATTAAACTATTTCAGCCATTTTGAAGGGTAATTTGGAAGTGCTATCAATATTTTAAATGGGCATCACCTGTGATCCACCAATTTCACTTTCAGGAATCTATCACATAAGAAATTCTCACACATATACACAAAGATTACAGATAGATTCATTGGACCCTTGTTTGCAGTTCCGCAAAAAAAAAAAAAAAAAGAGTCCATCAAGGATAAAATAATGGTAAATAAACTTAAATGAATTATGGTAAAAGACATATAACCACTTGTTTTTTTGGAGAGGTTTTTGCTATAGGGTGCGTGCGCTTGCCAGAAAGACAGAGACAGACAGAGAAACAGAAAGCGAAAAATCACTTTCCAGGGGGTATGGCCACTCCACAATCCTTTCTCCTCCATTCTCCTCTCAGGATCTTGGCCACATGCACACGCGCCTGGCATGAGTTTAAGCCACCAGGTCCAGGACTCGAACCACAGTCGACTACATGGAAGTTCAGCAACATAGCCATTACGCCAACTACTGGTCCCATATAACCACTTTTTTTTTTTACAATAACAAGGAAAGGTCATCAAAATATAATGTTACATGGGGAAAAAGTAAGCCCCAAAGTATCATATAAAATAGTAATTTTCATACTAAAATCTAACAAAAGGCTATATATGAGAATAGTGTGTCTATATAATAGTGTATCTGTAAGTACACTATTATAAGTAAGAGTATGACTGAAGAACAAAGGCTCTAGTGTCAAACTAGATGGGTTAGCCACACAATTAGTTAATCTCTCTGGGCCTTGGTTCCCCACAAGACTACTACTTACTTCATAGGGTTTTTAGGTCTTAATAAAAATTCCCTATTTGTTAATGCTTAAAAAACCCTGACATGGGGTCAGTAACTGATGGTGTAGTGGTTAAGGGACTGGATTCTCACGTGGCCAGCCACAGTTCAAATTCCCGACCCAGTGGCTTGAAACTCATGCTGGGCATGTGTATGCATGCCCAAAATCATGAGAGAATGGAAGAGAAGGGAATGCAGTGTGCCATACCCCTTAGAGGGCAAGTTCTCACTTTCTGCCTCTGTGTGTCTCTCTAGCAAGCATATGTGGTCTATAGCAAAAATCTTTCCCAACACCCTCCCTCCAAAAAAAAAAAAAAAAAAATCCTGACACAATGTCTCATTAAATAAACTAAAAAATAAAGTCTGAAATAATGATCACCTAGATATTAACAGTATATATCTATGTGAAATCAGGGGCTGAGGGAAGAAGAAACTGTCATTTTTAACTCTATGGTTTTATATATACTTTGAAATGCTTTACAATGACCATGATTTCATATATACCTTTGCTTTATAAATATGCAACAAAATACAAGTACACAAAGACATAAATATACAGCAGTAACTGCCTCTATTGTTTCTAATACCTTTATATCACATTACACAATATAAATTCATGTTTAAAATAAAATTTTGATTGTCAGTATTTTTTTTTTTCTTTTTGGAGAGGTTTTCGCTATAGGGCACGTGCGCTCGCCAGATAGACAGAGACATAGAGACAGAAAGCGAGAAATCACCCCCCAGAGGGGATGGTCACGCCGCAATCCCTTCTCCTCCATTCTCCTCTCGGGATCTTGGGCACGCACGCACACGCGCCCGGCGTGAGATTTAAGCCACCAGGTCCGAAACGCGAACCGCGGTCGACTACGTGGGAGTTCAGCGACATAGCCATTACGCTAACTGCTGGTTCCCAATTGTCAGTATTTTTTTAAATAATTATTTTATTTAGCTTTATTTATTCATTCATTCATTTCATTTTCTTAAATTTGACCAGAGAGGGACAGAGCAAGAGAGAAAGAGAGAGAGGGAAAGTGAGAGAGCAAACCTCCAGGTCCAGGATTTGAACCGTGGTTGGCCATGTGGGAGTCCCGCGTCCTTAACCACCACGCCACCTGCCGGCCCGACTGTCAGTATTTTTTAATTGTCAGAGGGCATGTGTGCTCATGAGAGAGAGTATAAGCATACACTCCCCCCAATGGGACATAGACATAAAGCAATTTCTTTTCCATTTCTCCATCCTGTCAGGATCTTGACTATACATACATATGTGTCTGGCTGTGTTTTTCAAGCCACTGGGGCTGAAACTCAAGCCATGGTCAGCCATGTGGGATCTAGCTCTCTTAACCACTAGACTGCAGGGCCAGGCCTATCATTAGTTTTAATATATTTAAAAACAAAAGTTTTATTTACAACAAACATTTATAGAACATTACTTGCTATCTGTAACTAATTAGAATTCACTTTAAAGGTACAGAGCCCTAAATAAATTGCTAATGTTAATTTATAGGCATAATTCACATGTTAGCACATTTAAGCAATTTTTCATTTTCAAAGTAATAAAGTTCAGTCTACATGCACACTGAGATACAACATACTTACTTTTAAATAAAAACTACTTCACACGAGATGTCAAAAATACTTCAGAGAATATTCTAATGATTTCTCTCACAGAGAGATCCATGAAATAGAAGAATGCCATAATTCTATTTAAGAAAAAAAAAGGCAAAAAAAAAAACCATGGTTTTATCACTTTGTTTCCATTACTATGAATGGTTTATATTTATCCAGATACAGTATTCCATAAACACAGTAAAAGTGTCTTTAAAGTCCAAAGCTAGAGAGATTAACAAGTTATTTATAGCCAAAACTAAAGTGAGAATATTATATTCATTATGTCTGGAGAAATTAAAGCAAATCACAGATAGTCTGACATCTACATTTGGATATGTGGAAGACAATCAGAAAAATATGTATCTATACCTTTCTCTCTTTCTAAAAGTCGGTGGTCTTTCATCTATTTCATTTGCTCCCCAGAGGTATACAGAGAATCCTAATAATTAACTATTTGAACTACCACAAAGGTAAGTTCAGAAAATTTCTTTATATTTAGCTATTTAAGTATTAATAACTGTGAAGTCTGGCTGTAAGTACTGGGTCAATAACAATTTAAAAAGAAGAAAAAGTGAAAGGAAGGAGAGAGAGGTGATAAGCCATTCCTTTAAACATTTTTTTTTTGGAGAGGTTTTTGCCATAGAGTGCATGAACTCGCCAGAGAGACAGAGAGATAGAAAGCAAGAAATCACCCCCAAGCAGGGGGATGGCCACACTACAATCCCTTCTCCTCCATTCTCCTCTCGGGATCTTGGGCACACACGCACACGCACCTGGCGTGAGTTTAAGCCACTGGGTCCAGGACTCAAATTGCAGTGGATTACATGTGAGTTCAGTCCCACCTCTAAACATTTTTTAAATTAAAAATAAAATTCAGTGACCTTTTCACCAAGTAAACTTTGAGAGAACCAACAACTATTGGTAGAAGACTCTGCATCTAAGAAAACCAGGTTACAGATTTTTGAGAGTAAAATCTGCAAAGAAAGAAGCACTATTCTTTAGGTTCATCCTCCCACTGTGCCAATCAGTGTTTCAAAGAAATACTGGTCTAGTGTATTTGCCACTTAATTAAAAACAGGTCACTGATCAACATTTAGTTACCTGTCTTAAAAAACTCACTGATGGGAACCAGCAGTTAGTGTAATGGCTATGTCACTGGACTCCCACGTAGTCGACTGCGGTTCACGTCCCGGACCCGGTGGCTTAAAACTCACACCGGCGCAAGTGCATGAGGAGAGGAGAATGGAGGAAAAGGGATTGTGGCATGACCATCCCCCCTGGGGGGATTTCTGTCTCTCTGTCTGTCTCTGTCTGGCGAGCGCACGCACCCTATAGCGAAAACCTCTCAAAAAAAAAAAAAAAAAAAAAAAAAAACTCACTGATGTTCTATTGACCCACAAAACATATTGATAAATTACACTATCAGATATCAGAAAAGAGAAAACTATTTAATAGAAAATTAAATCTTAAGATCTCCAGGGGCTAGCAGGCAGCATAGTGGTTAAGGAGGCTGGACTCCCACATGGCTGAAAGTGGTTCAAGTCTTGGACCTGGTGGCTTGCTTTCTCACTTGCCACCCCCCACCCCTTGGTTAAATTAAATAAATAAAGTTAAATAAAATAAATCTTTAAAAAAAAAAAGAATTTTCAATAGAAAAGCACATTAGATAACAATTTATTCAGTGACTGTCTGGTCAAAGAACTGCTTTTACAATGTCTGAATAATTTTCATCCAGAACTTCTC